TTTTGCTTGACTGCGGAGGAAGATTTTACCATGTGACTCACTTATCTGATTCATCAGATCGGCTTGCCGTAACAAAATTATATAGATCTGAATTCCAAACATATCAGCTTTAGTCATCCTATTTAGCCGTTTTATGGGATTTAATCCTGGGAACATGAGGAGGGTGGTTATACTGTATTATTATGTTCTGTTTATATGGTGAAAGCAGACTGCACATAAGTTAGTGTCAGCATGTGGGCACCACAAGGGCATTAGCTTTGCCTGCAACATACTGACAGTGCATGTATGTTAATTGGGATAGTATATATTAATATTAATATGGTTATATATGTACTTTTTTGTCAATGCAATACTTCTAAAACTTTATCAGACTTTATCCAATCACTCACTGTATTAGTTTGAGGTAGCATATGAAGGGTCTGTAGTTTACTTAACATTGGGGCCAATAAACGAAATCTGCTTGGAGTATACTCACTGCAAAGCATATCCAAGGTCAGCTACCCCTTGCATGTTTCTTCTAGAGTGGATACAAGATAAAAAACAATTGTATTTTACTGATATTTTCCACATGAAAGCATGGACAAAAGTCCAGGAAATCAGTATGTATCTGGAATGTAGGGATCAAGAAGTTTTCTTTTCATTTTTTCCTAAGGTGATGGCTAGTTATGTACTAATACACATGTAACTCACATGCTAAATTGTTTTAGATTCGATTTGTAGATTGGTGGGTTTTACCAGTCTTGGAACTATGCATGTTCAAGTGCCTTCTTTGCACCCATCTTTTTCCCCTTCAGTTTAGTCACAAAATCTTTTCCTTCCACTGACACCAGCAGACTATCAAATTCCTCCAACACCTTTTCAAATTGATACATATCAGATGGTGTCATATATCTCCCAGCATCTGTGTGTTCCATCATCCCAGCCCCTGAGCAATTTGCCAGACATATACTCTCCAACATAACCTCCATGTTTGAAATTGATAAGGATATATTTGAAATTTTCATCAGAATTTGGAGCATACAGGATGTTTGGCATCTGAATGTCATGATGGACAAAGCCTCCCTGATGCAACCTGGCCAGTCTGGTAATTACACTCTTGCTCATTGCCTTTAGGTCACTCTCATTCTTTGGGCAGAAATTGAAGCCTTGCATTGTCATGTGGACCTTATAAATTCCTTGAGTCTTAGAAATAGGTTTTTTGTCTATTTGAACAAGTCCTTGATGATCTTTGGCATGATTGTAACATTTTCACCAAGAAATTGACACGAGCATTGAAGTCATCTGCATATGGAAGATGCTCCTTTGAGATTTTCTTCTGGACTGAGTCCCCAAACCCCAGACCATCTGACCATAACAATATAGAAGAGCTATCAACCATTTCTGGAATCATTTCATCTGCTAAATTGCAAACTATTATCACTATTGCTATAAGTGATAATTGTACTTTCCACCTGCATTTGTTCTCCTTCCATTTCACCATGAACATCATCTTCATTAGGTGAAAACATATTTTTATCAAGTGAAAAAGGTACTTTGACAGATAAATTCTAAGAAAATCTGTGATCAATTAACTGTTCATCTTCATCCATACTGCATGTCTTCATTGATGGGTTTAAACTAAACAAGAGGGGTAAAAAAATTGGTAATAGGTTGACTGTATTTCTCAGCATGGCTTCAGTGGCAGGCAAGAGTTTGGCTGGAGTTCTTGAGGTATGGACCCTACATGCCTGATGTACTGCATGGTTCACTACAGTTGCAATAAATTCTTCATCCAGCTTAAGCTCAGAGTCAGAGGTAGTAGCAGAACTGTACTCATAATCACTTGAACTTGAATGTAACCAGCTGAAGTATTATCAATGGTAGTAATAATAATAATGGCTAGTTGAAATTTCACTCACTTGGCTGCATTTGCAGCACAAGCCTTCTGCTTTGCACTCTTTGGGGGCATTCTGGAAACCTGTATGGTGGAGTTGGCTAACAGCCCTAGTTAATATGATGTAACATTACACTGCATGAGTAATTAAGGATTTTTTTGGTTCCCTATATTAGTATAGATCAAGCCCAATGGTACCATTTTAGATAAACTTAATCACACAGGTATTGAAAAATCAAGTTTTGTATTGACACTCTTTAGGCTTTCTACACTGTAGAATGTAATTATTGGAGCATAGAAAATATAGTAAAAAAAAAATACTTCTACCTATTTTGTAATTCCAAGCATTGTTGAAATAATTTCGATTTGATCTCACAATAGGAAATGTGCCGCAATTCTGGAAATTCCTTAAATTTTTGCATGTGATTTGTGTTGGCAGGTTTACCACAGATATAAATAATCTGGAAACCTGGACAATGGCTACCATCTTTAGTAACTTGGAATCTCTTGACATTAACATTGGAGTGTTTTGTCACAATCATATTGGCACTATGATTACCACCAAACACAGCATCCAGGTAGTATTCCATTTGATTTTTTGGTGTCCATTCCCGATTTCGATCAAAGGCATGCTCAACTTTTGCTGAACCTGTGTTGTGTGTAGAAAAGTCTTGCAGAGATACTTGAAAGAATTTGTACCCCAAGATATAATCAAACCATGGATATCTCTTAGAGCAACGTACTAGGGTATTCATTTCATATCTTGGAGGTGGATCCTCAAACAACTCATAGTGCTGAATATCAAGGTGAAGAGCATTGCATTTTTGCCCAGCAAGGTCTGTTGTGGTGAGTGTCACTTGGGAATTGCACAATAATTGTTGGAATAGAGCATCTTCAAATTCCAAACCTTTGAAATTGTCTTCAGCAAGAGCGTTAATGTAGGCTTGAGGTAGTGGGCATGTTTTGTACAGGGCTAACAGTGCATTCCTGGCAGCTGGACAGATTGGAATGTACTCTTACTCTATCATTTCAGCCTTTTGCCGATATACCAGTCTAAAGTCCAAAATTGCCAATCAAATTGTGCAGAGCTTCGACTTTTTTCACTAGGCAAAAACATATCCGCAAGAGCCAGACAGTGATCCTCTTTTGAGTTTGGAGGGAGACTCTCAAAATGAGCTGTTGCACTGTTATAACATTCCTTATATTGCAAAGATTCAAATTCTTCTAGTTTCTTATTAATTTGACTTATAGTAAGGGAAGAGGTTCCAATGGTAGTGGCTAGGCATACAAGCTCTTGTGGCATACAGTTAGTGATTCTCAGGATCTTGTCCCTGGCACTAGATATTAATATATTTTGACAGGTGTCTGAATGGAAATGGGAGAGAATTGTATCTAGCAACCGGCCAAAGGTTACTGGAGATAATGGGTTACAGTAGATAACCCAATCTTGCATCCCATTTTTAAGGTGTGTCATCTCAAATTTTGCATGAGTTGTACCTGTCAAAACCACACGTGCCCCATTCAGTGTCTCATTCCATGCATTAAGGTTCTTCAAGGAGCTCAAAATCGGAAGCATATCAGGTATTGGAGGATTGGAATCAAACAGTGCACCATGTTCATCAACAAGAAGAAGAGTTTTATTGTTTTTTTGCTGAAGTATTTTTCCAAGGATTGCTGAAGCACATGATGTTTCAGGAGGGTCACTCTTAGCATGTGCCACCATGTCTTCAAGCTGGGTGGGTGAGAGAATGTCTTGGTTAAGTGCCAGGAATCGATAGCAAATTTCTGTTGCTGCTTCCAGAGTTGTTGCCTTAGCCAACACAGCTGCATCTGCTATATACAGCAAGGGCCATCCAGAGGCATAGGCCATTGCTGCCAGGAACCAGGCAAGGTAGGATTTTCCTATGCCCATGGGACCTGATAGTATCCGTTTGACTGAGTGTTGGTGGTCACTTGCAAGCTCATTCCAAACACCTTTCATTTGCTCAGTAACAAAGAAAGCCCCTGCTTGGTAACCCTCAGCAAAGTGTTTTGGTTCCTGGCCAAGATTCATTAGTGGTATTATTGTGCTGTCTTCACCAGCAGTTTTAACATTTATCAAATTGCCAACTTCAGCATTTAGAAGAGTGCTAAAAGTACTGCGGGGAGTGGGTTTGAATGGATTGTTGTTTAAAATCTTGATAATATCAGTTGGCAGAAGCACAGAACTGCCTTTAAAGGTGTACACCTCCCAGCCCTCCTCTAAACAATGCTTCTTGGCTGGGTGTTCCACTACAAGGCATGGATAGAAAAACATAAAAGCAGTATGTGTCATTAATATTAAATAGAAAGGCATTATTGAAAACTATACTAACAAGGAGGGTGTGGTGTATGAAAGCACCTTATGCCAAGCTAATCTAGCAGAGTTTATTTGTGTAATGAGAGAACAAAAACACATACCAGATGGTAAAAAAACAAGGACCCAGTCACCATAGTTTTTGAAAACATCAGAGATTGTAGCTTCTGGGTCATCAAGGTTACGTGCTTGATCATTGGTCTCATTGTGACTTCTGGCCTTGAGCCTCAATTGAGCTGGGTTGTAATCAGCTAGGGTATTTGGCATTGTCTCTTTAATTGCTCTCTTGAGGTCAGTTGCATCTTTGTCATTTTCCAATGAAACTTTGTCAGTAGGTGCATCAGGCAGGTCCACTACTGTAAACCAGAGGTTTGGCATGGCAAATGGATGTCAGTGTGTATCAGGAGGAGTTAATATTAAAGAGTTAGAACATGATCGCAAACCAGAAGCACATTTGCAGGTAGTCACATGATTTTTTCCTCATCAGCCTTAACTCTCATTGGACGACCTGTCAGTGGCACAAAATCGTGCTTATCTCCACCAAATATGTCTGCTTGAGTTACATGCAGTCTTCATCCCATGTCATTTTATAAGTTATTACAATCAACAGTCCAACGATATGTCACACTGAGTGCAATTTAAGATGAAGATCATCTGACTCCTGCAAAAATCACTTGACTTCAGAAAAAGATAGCAGCAAAATACTCAAGCAACCTTACAAACTTGTCCTAAGCAGAATCTTTCTCACTCACAATACACAAGTCCTTTCATCTACACTTTATCCTGTGTACTCAAGTTTACTGGTTCTTGTGATATACTACTTTGGAGCAAACCAAGGTTTTGGTCTTCAACAGGAGAATCCTTTTTGAAAAACTCTACCTTTCAAAACTGTAAGTATGCTGCTATGTAGTGCTCAAAAAGAGCTTTCAGGCAAGCCAAAAATTTTTAGACAGTAATATGGAGAATGTGGAAAAAAAGGTACTATTAAAGATATTGTATAATGATTGCTTTATCGGAAGTGCTGTCTTCCTTTCTCCCATTCAACTTTTTGACATTAACACATTGACAATTTAACTTGAACACATTCTGTAATTCATTCTTCAACAGTTTATCACAAGTTCTACCATCTACCCTACCAACACATTAGATTGTATTATTCACAATTCTGATTAAATGAGAAAGAGACACTGAGTTATGTTGTAGACAACAAAGTGCAAATATTCCCCAAGTATTATCAACTATAAACATAGCAACTTTCTCTAGTCCCTTTTGACAACCTCTACAATCTTAAACGCTATTATAAAACTCCTCTGTTCTCCCTTCACATTTGTGTGATTTCGCCTTCAGAAACCATTCAGTAAGCCTACATTGCTTTCCCCACCACTGCCTATACTGTACAAGGAATACTCGCACCACAAAAAGCAACTTGTCTAGTAAATAACTCTTTGTTTTATTGAAACTTTGTTTTGGTTAGAAGACGAGTGATTAACTACTATATGGTTTAACGTGGTAACTTCAAGGCGAAAATCCTTTTCAGTTTTTCAAGGAAACAGAAGAAAAAACTCAGTTAGGACGAAAGCACAGATCCTCGAGTTTATGTTTATCCAAAAATATGCAGAGATTTATGTGAAAGTCAGGTGATTGTCCTAGAAGCGAAAAAATTTTCGACGTAAAATCGCAATTTTCGAGTGATGATCATCATAGTAACTGACACCTACATATCCGGTTGTGTGACATATCGTCGGACTGTTATATCAACCACAACGCATAAAACAATACATCGTTTAAACTAATAAACCAATCTACCAATACACTACGAAAAATGCTTACATTCACAAGCGAATTCTTTTTTGGAGTATTTATTGGCTTCGTTCTCGGCCTGTTGCTCAATGGCATAATTTATAATAACCAACTCCACAACATGGGACTATAACCAAGATCATAAAGTCCAGAAAGTTGTCAAAAACGAAACCATCGGCGAACAAAATTTATCTCTTGGTAGTGATGATGATTTATATATTGTATGTGATCAGGCAATATTTGCAAGATTAATTTCTTAAAGGATGAGCATAAAAATTTTCGACTTTTATTGGGACAGTCAATGCATTGATTAAAGTATTCTCGGGGTGTGGAATATTTGACCTTGCAAAAACACTTAATGCACGTTTTCTAGATAAATTTGAACGTGTTGTAGATACCGATCAAACATGCCGCATTCTGGGTTGCATATTGCAAGCATGTTAAACATCAAGGAAAAACCATGGGTGACATTTTAAAAAGCAGTAATCAGCTGGTAGTTGGGCAGGCCATTTTATGGGTCATAGAATTGGAATTAGAAGAGGAACTTACAAGATGCAGATAGCTAATTTGTTTGCATTTGCGCCTATCTTCCCTGCTGCTGGAAAGTATAATTATACATGTGCTGTAGCACATTTTCTGGCACAAGTTCATGGTGACTTACAGCTACAGAAATTATTAACAGCAGTAGGCTCAGTCAATCTTACAAGTGAGGGGCACTATCTTGGTTTCGATGAAGCACTTGAAACAAGAGGCATAAAGTATATTAAACAAAATATTACTGGTAAATCTCACTGACCAGAGAACTATGATGTCAAAGATCAATCAATGCTTCTTGAAGAATACGTTGGTGTTGTGGCAGATGAGAGTACGCGTATGACTAGAACGTATAAAGATGAACTTTGGTTACTGGTTACAAAACTCTCATCCACATTTGAACATTCTGATCCTACAGTGCCCTGTGTATTGTTTCAAAATGCACCAGAGGTTAATGAGAGAGGCATTGAAGACCTTCTTTCATTCTATGAATCAGGGCTTTAAACAAGTACTTCAACAAGATGTCTACAAAACTGAACCCCGCGTAAGTCCCGGACGGCGTAAACGGGATGTAAAACGTTATACATATGCTCAACTTGAAAAGATAAGAAAGCAGAAGAGCACTCAACAAGAATAAATCCAGACAGTTGAACAGCCGATGCCCGTGATAGTGGACAAACGACGCCGAATTACAGATGCGAAAAAGGTCATACTCGCCCAGTTAGTCGATGTTGATAAAGATAGGCTCGAAAGCAAGATTAATGAATTGTTGCCAAGTCTTTCAGGATGGGATTATAAAAGAGTCATACATATGTTAGAAATAACTTAATATTAACGCGAGATGTGAGTGATGCTAGATAGTGTGATCCGCCTGTAAATATAAAAGTCTATAATTATCGATATACAGTACATATAATATTTATTAACCGTTTACATAATAGCAATAAATACTTCCATTTGGCTCAGACATTCTGCTGCATGTCTACTTGTCATCGATGATAGTAATAGATGATTGAAATATTATTATTATTGAAAGTAGTCTTAGTAATTCCATTACAATCATGCGTCTTGCTCACAAGACACTAAGTGAACTTTCATAAATCTATAGTAAACTCTATAACTTACGATCAGGGTAGTCAATATGGCTGCGTAGACCTGTTGCGATAGAATTCTCCTAACAGAAAGAAGTATTTAAGCGTATATAATTTCGCTTAATTAACCTTGCAAAACGGAATCTCTAACAAAACATCCAGAAGATACAAGTAAAGCACTCTGCACTACTAAGCTATCTTGAAGTACCTTGCATATCAGAGCACAACTATCCACTAAGCCTTCGCTCACTTTGTCTGGTTTTGTTGCAGCATGCCCAATTGAGTAGAGGACACAATGTAACAATAATTTCGGTTCTGTGTACGAGTTTATTGAATTTGTAAAAAAGAATTTGATAACTCGAAACAGCCATAGTATATAAAAGTATGGCCGCCTTATTCATGTATTATTTTATAACGCGATTTAATGCTTCAGTAAAGCCGAGAAAAGTTTAATACATCAACATCTCGCACGCCTTTCACATCTCGGACACCCTCGACAATTTTATTATTACTATCCCAAAACTTCAAAACAAGAAAAGTCTTCAATAAACACATGATCATTTCCCTGCCTGGACACGCTCTCGGGCCATTCCCAAATGACATAACTTCTTTTCGGTTTCTTTCCGCCGCATTTTTGAGTTCCAGGAATCTCTCTGGGTTAAACTTTTCAGGATTTCTCCAGCTCCTCCGATTCATTGATAAACCATTTACAACCAGTTTAACCGTAGTTCCTGTTGGCCAAGCCTTTGCCCTTAGATTTACTGGCTGTGCGGCTGTACGAGTAATAATCGGTACTGGCGCGTTCAGCCGTATTGTTTCGGAGATTAATGCATCGCAATAAGGTAGAGAGGATAGAGAAGCCGTTGTTAGATTCGTAGGAAGAGTATTACCAAAAGTTGCGGTTAGTTCTTCGGTCAAAGGAGTGAGAAGGGATGGGTTTTTTTCGAGTGTAGCTACAAGATTTTTTAGAACGGGAAGAGTCTCTCGGTGGGCCGAAAAAAAAATAGTTGGCGAGATTAGCATACGTTTAAAATGGAGTTTATCTGGATATTGTTCTTTTGAATGACGCTACCTTGTATATTCCCCCAATTAGCATTTCAGTAAGAATAGTCGTAATTTCACTAGGTGAGAATGGTCTTTCAACATGGTTCGTTGTGCTCTTCTTATCCCGATCTAGCGCTGTATTTGCCACGCGTAATTTTGTTAATAAATCGTTACTGGCCAGCTGTTCAGCCGGACAAGATTTAATGGCATCCCAACGACTGAGAACTTTTTGAGCAAGACTATGCATAGAAGGCAAACCCTCGTAAGTTTGTTGATTAAGGTTTCCATTTGTTAAGGACTGAATGTGTGATAAAGATAATTTAGATTGTATACAACAAATAAAGAGCGGGAATCAGATATTTATAGATTTATAAAGTCTACCTGCCACAATTCAATTATGATATCTTTTATATTCGTAATGTAGCCTCCTTCATTTATCCAACGATCCAAATCATACAACATTTGATCAGACTCAATTAGATGATCCCCAGTGAATATTTTCACTGCTACTCTTTCGACTAATTGTTTATAATCGTGCATTCCATCGACTGCTCCTCCCCTCTCCTTTTCGATGATCCTGTAATACTCTTCAGTCCATTTAACAACTTCATCCAAGAAGCCCTTACTGTTCATTGCATTATCAACAACGTCTCGTGTCATTTTCCAATTGTCTAAATGGTTGTTGAATCCTATTCCTTTATCCCCTGGACCCAATTTCATATAAGCGTAATTTGCTGTCGGAAATCTCAGCTTATATTTGTCACTCAGCATCACATCTATCATCAAATCACCTCTTGAAATCCATATATCGCGGGATAATTCAGTATACACTTCCCAGACATTCCCATAACAATCGTAGCATTTCATGGCCCATGAGACAAGATCCTTAGAGTAATAATCATGGGATGAGAGAAAAGGGATGGGAAACGGGCCAGGAAGCGGATTCGGTCGTGTAAAATACCGGAAATAAAAATGGATTAAGTAGAACGAGGTGAGGAAAACGGGGAGAATAAGAACGAAAAGTTCAAAATGGATGAATGATGCATTGAATAGAAATGAAAGCAAATGGGATGAGAAATATGTAATGGGAATTAAAGGGACGATGATTAAAAATAAAGGAGAGAGAGAGAACATTCTAACGTATATCGAGAAGATGAATATCAAAGGAGGTAGACATAATAGGGAAAGAAAAGGCAATACGTTCTCAATAGTTGGGTAGAGTTGGACCATTGTCGAGATATGTGATTAGTAAATCGCTAAATGCCAAAGCAGAGTAAACATCATTTGTTATATATCAGTTAGTGGATTGCAATCCTTTCACCAGCATTACGGAAAAGAAGTCTAGATGGGGATGAAACACGTGCTGATCATCAATACCAAGCACATTACAGACAGTTTGTGTCTCACTCTTTATTATACCAACATCAGTATAGCGTGTATTGATCGATCTATAAGCAAATTGAAGGGGCGAGCATTATATGAACGCGCAAGGTATCCGGGATATATATATTCAACAAATATACAAAATACGTTTCATAGAAAGCATATTATAATATTATTGGGACCTTCCAATTAAAATTGGGGTTTCAAACTATATATTAATATAATACATTACTACAGTCTATTAGCTCACAGTAATATTTCTCAGTTCTACTTCTTCACCGTTGTTACTTTCATCACCAGCATCAGAAGAAACGCCTCGCATTTTATCAATAACAACTTCAGGAGGCTCGATTATAGAAATCGATTTTGAAGAGCGTGACGAGGACCAAGACCATGGCGATTGTGAAAATGAATTTGATGATGATATTGTTAATGATAATTGCAATGATGGCCTCGAATTTACATCGCGCGATTCGTTGCCTTCTTGCGACACCGTGCTATCAGTATCGTGCCGTCGTGTCGCAGCAGTGGATGATGATGTCGTTCTTGTGAAGAACGAGAAAATAGCCGAGGTTGTTGATATTGGGCTGTTACCAGTATCGCTATCGCTAATTACACTCGACCCGACGTTTTTCTTGAAAGGTATAAAATTTTTGTTACAATCGTGTTTACACATTGGACATGCAGAAGACTTTTGCATTAACCAGGGATCTATGAGAGCGAGTGGACGAGTGATTGAGTAAACGACACACGATTATAACGTATACAACAGTAACTAATACAAGTGTCATTAATTACCAATGCATTTGATGTGATATTGATGGAAACAGGGAAGCCGTCGTAATTCATCCCCATCTTGAAAGTCTTCAAGGCATATCACACAGGTCGTTGGGAAATCGACATGGTAGTGTTCGTTTGTGTATCTCTTGTTCTTTTTATCTTCTTCTACAATGTTCTTGTTATCTTCTTCTACAATGCTTTTGTTATCACCCCCTTCATCATTGTCATTTTTTTCATCTTTGATACAACTTGTCAACTCTTCCTCTCTTGCTTGCTTTTCTTCTGACACATCACGTGTTTCTGAGGACGGTCCAGACTGTTCATGGTTTGCAGTGGGTATTGTACAATTCTTCTCGTTTTCTCCATTTTCTATCGCCACACTTTGTACTACTTTATTCTCAACTTTAAATACAATGACAGGGAACGCATCAAGCTTCTCTCTTGACAATAGTTGGGATTTATTAGATGTTCTTTCCAGTTCTACTGTTCTCGTTCTGTAACGACGTGACTCTCGACTACGCAGACATACGATTATTATACCTGTAATTGGGACGTTTGTTGAAGTAGATGAGATTGGAACAATATCGAATAATGGCATAATGAATAACATGAAAGTAAATTTCGTCTCATTATACTTGAGACATACCTCCAAACAAAGATAATAACGCTCCACTAATAACGATGATGGTGAGCACTCTCGTCAACTGTTGGCCAACTACATAGGCCGTATTGTCTTCACCGTCATCATCCATTTTACTTTTTTATGAGTATATGACATATATTTGCAAGAGCTGGAATGTGTCAGTCCAAGGATAAATTGTGAAAATCTGCTTCAGTGCGTCTGGTATATATATGTATATATAATATTATTGATCTCTATATAGACTTTTCTATTTGTTTCATATAGATTTTGATTTTGGCACGTGTTTCATAAGAAATAAGAAATCTGGTTTCCACTGAGAAAATCGTGGTTAAATACTCGGGAAAATCGCTTTATTAAATTAGCCACAGGCGAATAATTTTTACGGACGGAATACAAATGATATAAGCATGTAACACAAATATGGGACACATTTATAGCGCAGCCGAATGAACAGTAAATAGTAAATGAAACTCACTCCGCATAATTTACGATTGTGTCATGACATCATATATATATAATAGTAACCTAATAAATAAAGTTCATTGATTACAAAGGCGTTGTCGATATTGATGGGCGTATTGCAACAAAGTGAACGTGTGATGTCACATTGTTTTAAACTTTTCTATTCTTAAAGCCATAGTTACCAAATACAATAAGAATTAACCAAAGCGGGGAAATCCGGCCGATGTATTCTTTTATTTCCTGGGTGCTTGCAGCCATGTTTCTGCAGTCGGCAAGCTCATTCATAACGCCGCCGAACGCCGAGGGTGGTAAGGCCATTCTAACCCCAGAGGGGATCCAACTCCCCGCATTTCGTTCGTTTGATTAGTACCAACTGGCTGATTGGTCTGCCTTCATTTGGAAGCCATCACATTTTATTTTAAAGTAAAATACAAAGTAGATTTTTCGCTAAAGAATGGAGATCACATATGATGTTGGATAAGTCATTTTTGGAAAAAGCACATGTTTTCTAAGCAATAATTGTTTCAATAATCGATTGGCTAGATTTCTAAATTAGCCAAACGTCCAATCGATTACCGATTTACTAGATGGCGTTTTAGGTTATACTTATCGCGAGTGTCCCTGATTGAATCAATTGGGGCAGAACCAGACAAAGTGAACATTTGACTATGTGAGCAGTGACTGACAGTTTTGCTTTAGTGGCAAAGCTGTGGTTAAGACATAATAATAAATTTGGAGACCATTTTAGCTTTTGTTGTGGCAAATATGACCGAAATTTAGCTTTATTTTAATTGAAACTGACACAGATATTTATGAAAAATTATAACCTGTTTAATTAGGGCTATCTCTATATAAAAATATTATTATGAAATTAATTTACATCGAATCTACCATGGAACCAAAGAATTACAGCACTATTAGAAGTGTCTTAAAGAAAGAACAGGGTGAAAAAATTACTTATGAAATTACCAAGAAGAACGAAAAATAATAAACCATAAACGAGCAATAGCACCAATGCATGGTGAACTAGAACCAAGAAAGAAACGAAAACTTGAAAAAATATAAACATTGCCACCAAGGCCTCCATTAAAAGATCATTTCTTATAGTCATCAATTTGTTGTTGGTAAAAGTATAACATTTTAGTTTATTACTACCCTCCATTGTTTATTTACTTATCCATATAGGGAGAATAAAAAGAGGTTAATAAATAAAACCTATTTCTTTGATTTCAATTTTTTTAATGTTTTGTCAACTTCTCAAATCACTCCAATAGAGGAACTGCATAACTGTCAGCGGTTTTCTTCGCGAGGCGGCTGCGCTCCCTCACCGTGACAATAGAGCTCTGTAGTGTCGATGCTTAGT